ACCATATCTTCTTGTGGAATATTGTCTGTCACCGACAAAACGGAGCTACGACGACTTCTAGTTGCTCTGATAAGCAAATAAGAATTTCTTGATGAGGAGTTGGTAAGTCTAGTTTTATCTAGAATAAGAAATTGCTGGATGAAAGGTGAACTAATCATATACACAGATGAGCTCTCATTTAATACAGTGTTTATTGTGCTATTCCAAAAAAGTGTATGACCTTTGGTACCTGACCAGTATAAATGGATTTTCAATTTTTAGGGTTTAACGTGCTTTTTATTTACAAGCATACTATCAAGTCTATTAAGTATTACTCCACATGCATACTACAAAGAATCAGTTGCCTCCAGTGTAGAAAAAAAGAAAAGAAGGAAAAATCTATTTCGGCTTTTTTAGATAATATCTTTTCTTTCTTTTTGTTCAAACTTTTTAAAATGTAATGCTTTACTCTCACCCTTGTCATGCCAAATTTTTTAATCATATATTGTTTCATTTTAGTTTTTTAAAATCCAAACATGCGTATCTATTATAGGATGTTATTTAGACGTATTTTTTAGGTACACTTTAAATGTTTTTATATCATCTTAACCACCTCAATTCCCGGACCATTATGTCAGTCTAACGGTAGGTAAATAAAAACAATATCTTATTAAGCATGCCAGTATCCAATTTTGATTAAAAGGTTATGCAAACTGTAAAAATATAGGAACAACGCGATTGCGCTGCATAATTAACTTTAATGCTTGGCCGTAGAGGATTGCGCTGGTTTACTCTCCTTTGAGGTCTGATACGGGAGATACTTTCACAAGAAAGATATACAGAGCTGTTTTTTTTACTGTTTATAAAATAAACTAATATAGAACATACTCTCCTCATAATATTCCCTTATACATCGAATAATTTGCTATATGGAACAATTAACGTTTATGAAACCTCACCCTTCACACCAACTTAGGGCCCTCGCAAGCACATCAAACTATTTTTTAGAGATCCCGATTAAGGACATTAATTTTTTTTTTTTTTTTGTGAAAGGTTACTTCAGACTTCCAAAAGAAATCTTTTTCTGAAATCCATGGCGTTGCTTTTTAAATGACCCAATTTAAATGATTAATAATAAAATTTTGCAGATTACTAAAATATCTGTTCCTTTATTTTTTAAAGACAAAATTTCAGTTTAACCGATTTTTTTATTATATTTTAAGAATGATAACCCCACATCAAATTGCGTTTATTGTGTCTCAGTTGCAGCTCCTAATAGTTCGAATCAACGAAGAATCTGAATTTCTCGAAAAAGATAGAATGGAAATTCTTAATTCTACTGGACAACGACTCGTAGAAATATGACGACTCTTCATTCCAGTAGAGAGGATGGAACAGGTACGTCAGTGAGAATCTGTGCAGCAGACGGAGGGTTTACTCTGGGTTGGCCTCTTAACACAGGAGGGTTTGGGCGTTGGCCATTGATGAAATCAGCACTTGAATAATTTTGGAAACTCATATCTGTAAAATAAAATGGAGATGTTAGAAAAAAAGTAAATCGATAAAAATGAAAGGCTCTTATTGAAAAATAAACAACATTTGTGATTTCAGTAATCCGATTTGGACATTAAATAATCTGATAGAAGGTTTTTGGGGCCTGCAGATTTTAATTCTTCGTTTGGACAATTCGGATTTTTTAGCACTGAAAATATTCAATGCTGTTATTAATCGTCCATACATATTATTAAAATTTTAAAAGATTCTAATTGGAAAAACTGTAACCTTTCACAAAAAAAAAAAAAAAAAAAAAAAAATTAATGTCCTTAATCGGGATCTTTAAAAAATAGTTTGATGTGCTTGCGAGGGCCCTGAGAAAAATCCATATTTGGAAGGTTTTTTGAATCAAAAAAATAAAGTTCAAAGTTCAGCCAATACTGGATGGTCAAATAAAAAATAAAGTTGTAGTTACAAACTGCAAACAACAACAATTGTGATCATCCAATAATTTCTTATTTACAGTTTTTTTTTATTTATGTTTCAGAAGGCACTTGGTTTTTGTAACCACCAAAATAGGCTTCCATTGAAATAGTTGAATTTTCTTCTTTCTTTTTTCTTTTTCTTCAACGAAAGCTAGGTATAAATTATAGATAGACCATTATCCAACACTCAATGTTTAATATATAGCATGATAACGTACCCTTAACAAGGCTATCGGTCAAGGTTTATGCACCATTCCATCGTTGATCCTATTTTTAAGATAATGAGACTATATACTGTAAGTCTTAAAGTATACGCCTTATAAAAAGAGTAATAACATTTATCATTCTTTAGTGGTCTATTGGCGTAAGGATAGGTCTATTGTTCATAAATATATATAAAGGTATGTCGTCTTTCGCTTTTTTTATTATTAATTCTAATGTATGATTATAATTACAGGTAAGATATTCCTTGTGAACATCCTTCTATCTGCTGTTTTTCTTCAAATCCTGCAATCATTACTCCATTACAAGCAAATATACATAGATATATCTATTTTTTTCCCATTTTATTGCTTTCTCTCTTATTGCAATAATAAAAGACGCTATTTTTTAAAATACATTTTCACATAAAAATATGTATGTATTCTTTTTTTGTATAATGTAAACAGAAATAAAAAAAAAAGTAAATGTTTGCAGTCGGCTGCTTAAAAACTGGCCTATTCTTAATTTAGAAGGTTTTCTGCACCAAACCTTAATCCATATTTGATTTTTTAAAATTCAGAAACATCAGTCGGTGTGTAGTTTCCAAGGTGAAATATGCCTTGGAAACTACTCAAAATCACAAACATTGCATGTATACTGCATGTTTGTTTAGTCACATTTTTACTTCATTTGGAATTAATCTGGTAGTTATTCTCGTAGTTATTCCCAAATTGTGTTTTTTCGCTCCCCTGGTGAAGACCTTTAGCCACGATTTGCATCGTTTGTTTATTCAATGATTTGCATACACACCCAGTGTATTTTTCTGCAGCTTTGTTTGTGTTATTTGTTTACGAACGGGGGATCAAAAAATTGACTTTTTTGGATTATGGGGGTGGGGGGCTGGGGGAGGCTATCTGTAATACGCATCGGAGAAATGCTTATATACGTTCACATGCTATATTTACGTCATAAAAACCTGTTTTTATTGTATAAAACTTGTATTGCAATGATTTATAAAATAAGCCATAAAGAAGAGTAATGGAACTGTAACGGGAAAAAACAGATACTGATATAAGTCTGTTTTAGAAAGATAGCCATTAGAAAAAGTATCATACTTTTAAGATGAAAATCTGATATACCTTTAGTTTGATGATTTATGTAATCTAACCATATTTTAAGGAATAAAAAGACTGTGTTAAAGAACAAATGTTTGAATTAAAGAATAATAAGATCTACCTTTCTTCCTTTCGGTATATCCTGAGCGAATAAGCTATTATAAAGTACATGTTAATAAAGTAAAGAGCTATGTGAAGATCATTTATAAAGGCTTACAAAAAGTTGATTTTCAATAAAAGTACAAAGCAGATTCTAAAATAATTCTATCGAGTTTTTAGTATCGTTATCGTCTGCTCTTTTTTGAAGACTTTTTTACTTAGCAGCACCAATAGACAACGGTACATACCAAAGAGAAAATTTGAAAAATCAATACGTGAAAGAAAAAGAGGAGTAAAATAAATTCACATTCAACAAATAAATAACTTGCATCTATTTCCTTTTTTCCATTTTTTGTTTCGATTTGTAATCGCAAAAATTTCCTCTCAGTTTTCATCTTTCCGCGTAAACGAGCCTTCGACACAGTGCCCCATTTGCAAGAAATATTTCTCCAATCCATCGAATGCGAATCGCCATTTAGACTTAGCACATAACTCACGTCTTTGGCAGTAAGATTTTTGTTGTGACTTTAAAATTTATATATGTTAATATCCATTTAATAGTGACACAGACACTGATGATTATGATATGACAAATGATGTTCCCGCTGTCGAATCTTTTAACGACATGGTCGAATTAGAAGATGGGTCTAGTTATTCTGATGATAATGACAATCATGACAATTATGATGTTTTTGACGAAAGTGATCTGATAGACAGCGCCAGTCAACCACATGAAGAACCAGATCATACTTCAACCTTCCATGCCAATCCATTTTATCCCTTCAAAAATGAAATGGAACTTAAATGCTTAATGTTTTTCAAAGGCTCTCAGGACAGATTTTCGCAAAGAATCGTCAAAAAAACATTACGTTTGATTCGATCTCTTATCGAAATATCGCATAAAGAAAGAGACGTAATCCAGAATCGACCGCAAGGATTTGATCCTATCAAAAACGTACCATCTGACGATCGTATCTGCAAAAGTCATTCCGAAAGACGAAAGTTCCCTCGTCTTGAGGTGGTCACTTTTGCTGTTCCCAAGGGTGATGGTTCGACCGTCGATCTGACGTACATCAAACCATCGAATCATCTGCGTTTGTTAATGGCGAACCCTACCAAGGTCTCTCTTTTGAATTCATTGCCGGATTTTCCCCCAAACAAGAGAACCACACTCAATCAAGGCCTCAAATGGAAGGAATGCCCATTATTCCAGTCTCCCATGGTTCCAAAAGAAGTGAGCAGAAATTCAAATGATTTCTGGTTAGGGGATGTAGTGATTAACTCTTCTGGCTCAACACATATTATTTCAAAATTCTTTACCTTCGAAGGGCAAATTTTTATTGAAGCATATGCCATAGAGCTTGAGCATAACACCTTTTTGGCTATACTTACTTCAGAAAAGAATACCATGTCTATATCAAGTGTTTCATTCGTCTTATCTCTTTTGGAACTAATTGACATGTATCTACTCGCATCGATGAATATCGTCAGCAACACTGATCAGGTTGTACGAACCCACTCAAGACAATTAAATGGGTTCCATCAAGATTTTATCAACTACTGCCTTTCCGAACGCGATAAAGTTCCAATCGACCATTTAACAAGGAGACATATGAAAGTTCGAATTGTCCCAATATCTTTGTTCTCTGACGATACCAGTGGAAATAGATCCAAGAAATGGAATTGTTTTGATACTTGGACCATGACCATATCGGCACTTCCTTTAAAAATAAGCAATGAATACGAAAACCATTTTTTCATTTGTACAAGTAATCATATAATAACGGCAATGGAAATGATAGAACCCTTGACGAATGATTTGTACAACTTGGAAAAGGGGATGGTTATGTACGATTCCCAATTCAAGCAGAATGTTTTCGTGATTTCGCCAGTTTTATTTATCCGTGGTGATAATGTACGTCAGGCCGAAATTGCTCTTCACAAAGAATCTAGGGCCACCCATCCTTGTCGATTCTGTTACTGGCAGTCGGACCCATCAAAATCTGTGGATGCTAATGACAACCACCATCATTGCATTATAGTGCATCTGGTTTTTCTGCACCTTCTCGTACACTCCAGGACTATAAAGACTTTGCGACTTTGCAATATCAACAAAGACCGGAACCTGTTTTTCTTCCAAATAGGGGACGTCCTCGGGCAACGATTGCATTTAAAGCGATTGGAGCAAACTTGGATTTAAGTTTACTGGCGGTGAGCATTTTTTAAAATTGGATGCCATCGATCTTTCAAAGGACCTACCTGTCGAGATACTTCACACGTTGTTACTGGAATGACAAAATATTGTTTCATAATTGTGTATGATAACTTTATGGATAATAATCATATTGCGTCATTGACAGATCTATTCCGCAATTACAACTCAAAAGCTTTACACCGTAACATGACATCATCATTGAAAAACATTCGCTCATTTGTCGGTAGAGAATACAAGATCATGGTACAGCTACTTCCTTCGTTGCTTGAACAATCGCGTCTGGATAATCCCAGATTATATCCTAGCCAAACAGTTTTCGAATCAATTTTCAATTGCTTCAACACGTTAGGATCACTTTCTTCTCTCATATACATGGAAAAAATTGATAATTTCGAACAACATAGAAATATGTTAGTCGTTTTAGTAACAGAAACAATAGCGGCTATGGATAATCTTCAGCATACATCAATACAAAATTCACACGGTAGATCAGCAAATTCTGGACAAACTCCCCTAGCAAAAATGAAATTCTCATCATTATGTAACAGACTAAAAGCACACTTGCTAGTCCATTTATCAGACGATGTAGAAATATTTGCTGGTGGTCCTCACACTGAGGCTGAACGTTGTGAACAGCAACACAAGTTTATGCGAGAGCTACTATGCCATACTAATTGCCATAATGGTTCAAGAGATGTAGCATTAAGATTTTCGGAAGAATATATGCTACGCCATATGTGCCAAGGTGGATCATTTATAAGAGATTCTTCGGCACCAATGTATGAAATATGCAGTGAAGGAGTTCTTTTGTCTTATGATACAATGCTTTTTCAAAGCGAGCTTGAATTGTTAGACAATGATAACGGTAATAATAAGCTGACTGTTGGTCTCGCTGCTCTATTCAGAAACATGAACAGCCCAACAAATGGTCAAACTCTTGGAAGGATTTCCCAAAAAGCAAACGGTTATTAATTCGTTGAAGCTTTTAGATTTGTGCCAATAAGAGATGAACATCTTGGTATGGTAAGCATTTTCAGCACATGCGCAACTGACCTGGCCGGAAACTTTGTAACCCGTAGACTGCCATCCCAAGATTTTTTAATCGAAGATACGAGTTCCGAAGACTATGAGGTTTAAAATGTTTTTGATATGTCACAAATGCCTATAGATGCACAGATCAGAAATAACCAACAGTTTTCCGTCGTCAATAAGTCCCTATTTTGGAACTTTATGGTGGCTTCATAATACAACTTGTAGATACGATAAAATTATTCACTAATTCTTCTTTATAAATACCCAAGTAATACCTGTATCTTTTTAATTAAGTGGAAAATTTATTGTTTTCATCCATGTTAATGCGAAATGGGGGGGGTGTATGTAAAAAACGGCGACTGATTTTTGTTGGGGGTGGGGGTGCTCTGGGGGTACAAAATTAATAGGGGGAGGGGGAGGGGGGGACAAACAATAAACACAAAAACATCGTACAATATTCTATTTTTGACGAAAAAAAACTCTGGGCCAATGGTACCCGATGTTATGTGTTTATTTGACCCCCCCCCCCAATATATCATAAATGGTATTGTTTACTCTAGGCGTGTATGCTACCTGTCGGATTGTGTCAGCCATGCATAGCTGAGCTGAGTTATTTAAACTATTTTATCAAGCTCATAATACCCATCCTCCAAAGTTTTGTTCCTTGGGTTTTGCGATACTTTTAATTTCCTGCTCAATGCCCTGTAACATAGTCAGACGCGTGCTTTTTTTTTTTGTTTCCATTACTGTTCAAAAAAATATTTTCTGTACTGAGCTCGTAAACATTCATTCTCGATAGGTTGTGTATGAGAACCCCCCCCCCCCTTCCATTTTCGGCGGTTCTTACTTTAATATAATAAGGGCAATTATATTTGGATTTGTCCTTTTGACGTTGACGATTAGTGTCTCAAACTTGTTTCGAAGGGAAAGTTTTTAATAAAATTGGTAGTGATTTCTTTGGTGGCATTGGGTGTTGATGTTGGCAAAAGAGCAGGCACTTTCAAAAGTTTCAATATTTATTTTGGTTTCTAGAGAAAAGAGTTTGTTTTATTTTTACAGAGTGTAAGACAATTGAGTGACAGCCACTACAGCATGTGATCTTTTAGGACAGCCAAAAGGTTTCCGATCCTAGGCTGTGACTACGTTCACTTTGGCTGTATCTAACGTGTAAATTCCAGCACAACATCTCCCCGGAGGGAGGGCGTAAAATAAGCCCACTGTTTACTTAGCGAAACATCCTTTTTTTTTTTTACTCTTACTACAATAAGGATAACAATACCACTTAAAATGACGTTCAAAGCACTTTTTTCCCAGCCGTTTTTTGAAGAGACTCAGTGTGTTCAACATAGAAAGACTACGGAAAGCTTTAAAACCTTGACCTTAACATTAGTCAGTCAATGGCGAAGGGAAATTCTATAAAAAGAAAAGAAACTTACAGAAATACGAACACAATCACCATATCGTAAAGCCTTATGTAGGCGCTATTAAATGCTCTAACTTTTTTCACCAATATGCTTGCTGACCTCCTGTCAAAATTGCTTGTATTAAGAACAGCAACTGTCATAACATTACGTTATTGGAGCTTTTGTGCTTTCAATTGAAAGATCCCCCGCCCGCCTCAAGCACAGTTTAAGTTAAGCAAACAGAGAAAAGAAAACAAACAAATTCTTCGTTCTTTATGTACCGATTTACATCTGTTGCCATTTTTCCACAGTACACCCTGTGAGGAAACTTTTAACATAATGCACACTCTCGAGATTACACCATTTTATCCCAAATCCCTTTTATATTCTCCCGCATCAATCCCTCAAACATTTTGAAATAGATTTACAGTAGCCATACCTCTTTATTTTTATCGGTACCCCAAATACTTTTCAGCACCTTATTTTCTTACTTCTTGTCCTCCTCATATCATCAAGCCGAAACATACCTCTATTTTCTTGTATATTACACCCTTATCCACAAAGGTATTCCTTATGCGTCGTGATCATCTCTTATCTCGCGTCATACTTCTCATGTTATGCTAGATCTCGTATCCACCTTCTGTTTTTCTTTTCGTGGATTTGCTGTATTTTTAATCTCACCAGTACTTTCTGATCTTGTCTCTCTGGCTCTCGTTTGTCCGATTACACCTATTGTACTTCTTGTAGCAAATATAAATCTCGTAAAGTGAAGTTCAGCATTCAATTCTTTCATGATCCTCAATAACGTTTTATCATTATCTTCATCGTCTATAGACAGCCCACGGCAATTGCTTATAATTCCAAACTGTCGTTTGGCGATCCTTTCCCAAAGATGATGGTATCTATCATGAGAATTTGTCGGCCGTCTGTTGCATTTATAAGTTTCCTGACCTCGATTTCCAGTTGCTGGTTTTAGTATCACGTTGTTAATTCACTAGTCTAAATCAGCAGGCCAACATTCATTAAAATGAAGGTCAAATACCTGATAAACGGTATAACATGTTTCAAACTGGAAAGCTAAAAGCAAAATTAAAACAAAAATAAAAGCGAGCCCTCATGCCTGTATAATTACCTGCTTAACCTGGTTTTAAAGGTGGCATAAAAAGGAAAGCTTCCTACACTTTTTCTTGCGAGATTGTGGGGAGAAAAAAAAAAAAAAGAGGTGCGGGTTTTTTTTTTTTTTTTTTTTTTTTCAGCTTTTGAAAAATCTTTGTTATACCTAGAAATGTCTAAAGCAGAACGACTTTGCCGCTTTAAGACACCTGGGTGTCTATTATAGAAACGAAAACTGCAAACGTACACTAATGCTGTTTGTAAAACGATCTGGTACGCTCTCTTGGGATGATGGTCATTCCTTAGCCATTTTTTGCGTGGTGTACCAAAATAGAAGGAAACGCAACGTTCAATTTTTAGCCTTAATATGCTGTGGCCGATAATTACGCCTGTACGACTTGATGACGTGAAATGGCTCCAGCTACACCTCACGTCGTACATTCCACCTTTTCAATTTTTAGGTGCTTATTTTTATTCTTTCACCAAGAAGACATTCAACAAGCGTAAGTTTAACAAAAGGCAAAACCAACAACGGAAATAAAACGCACCAATACCTTTTCCGTTTACACAGATAACGACTTTCACCATTATGTATTGAATCGACACAATCTTTCCCTCTCTTTTGTATTGAACCACCCCACTACGCATGATGGGCAGTGCTTAAAAGACAGAGACAGCACACATCAACAATGGAGGAGCAACTACAGAATAATAACATAAGCAAAGCTAAGAACGATTCGAAGGAGTTCAAATTAAATCTAGATGAAGTTCCTGCAAAATTTTGGTCATAGCACCTCTATAACGTATTTGCGCTTAAAATTACGTGTGATCAACAGGCATATACACACTAGTAGGTTGTTCAAAGTATAAATTATTTGAGGTGAGTTATTTTTTGTGTTAAATGTGATTGTTATACTTATTCTTTTATAAAGCCCTCCTAATCAAAGATCGATCTCAATCCTGGATGTAAACCCCATAACATGGGAGCTACCCATACATTTAAAAAGGAAAAGCAGCTTCATCCCTTGAATATAGAACCAGTTACTGTATAATTTAGAAACATTCATTAGCAAAGTGTGAAAGTAGTAACACTAAAAAGTTATTAAGCTAGATGAAAGAACAAAAGCATTACGCTTTGCACTGATGCTGAAGGTACTGAAGAGGGAAGTTGGAGTAATGAAAAAAACAGAAGACTTTACAATAAATATTTGAGTTTAGAAAGCCTTATTTACTCTGTAGCTATATTTAGCCTATGTCCCCCATCAGTAGCAACCAGCGTTCTAATTATTTTGCATAAAAATCAGAAACCAAAGTGAACCCTTACAAATTCCAAGCTTTTCTCCCTTTAGCACTTCAACATCATTGGGGTTGTCAGAACAGACCTTCTTTGCACCAAACCAAGAAGCTCTGAGCTACATTCACAGCAAAAAGCACTTGCATGAAATACTTACAGACATCTGTTTAGTTTCAGTTGATTGTTTGCGTACAAAATTATTAGCAGCAAACAACTCTAACACAATTTCAGTTGGTAACTGTTATTCATTTTGCATACAAATTTGTTTGCAGCAAAAATTTAAAAGAAAAAAGCAAAACAAAACCAGTTGGTGACAATTCAAGCAAACTTTGGTGGCAAAAACCACAACAAATTTGAGTCAAACAAAAAATCAGCTATAGGGTAAGGGCTTTATCTTCATTATTATTCGTCATGAAAAGAACGTATCTGCCTAAAAAAAATATAAGTAATAGTAAACCCCATAAAACAATATTCTGTATGTATTGAATATGCTTTTTTTTAAAAAAGCTACATTGTGCAGAAAATTAGTGAAATAAAAAACACGCAGGGAAGTAAGTAGTAGACAAAATAAATTTTGTCTGCCTGAGGCTATTCAAATTTTAAAAGTCATGTCAAGCCACCCGACTGGGCAAACTGCATTCCCTCGCTCAATACGCGACTCTCAAAAGAGTAAAAAAATCTGGGGACCGGGAAAAGGCTGGATTGCAATGAAAAGAAGGGCAGTAAGGAATAAAAAAAAATCTGAGGGGAGTGGGGGGGCAGAAAAAGGCTGGGTTACAACTACAAGAAGGGCAGTAAAGAGTAAAAGATCTGAGTACAATTTTCAAGCATGAAAAGGCTGGGTTGCGTAACTCATTTCTCCTAAATAAGCAAGGCTTTACTCGTTGAACAAATTTCTTGAGCTTGTTACCAATTTTATAACCACTTACTTTTTATATGCGTATACAAATGCGTTATTAGTATATAATGCTTTCAGTTAGATCACCAATAGCTTTTTTAGCATGTACTCAGACACTCTTTTTATGTCTAGCTGTATGAAGGTAAAGTGACCATTTCTCCCTCTAAAATAAGTTCATCATTTACATCAGAACGTCCATCACAGACCCGAAATACTAAAAAGAAAAAATCAGGCACAATGATAGACACAGGTACAGTGTCGTGATTGAGGCTATTACTTAATATATGACTCGATCTACACTTCTTAAATCTTCCATTTGATAATCCTAAATATATCTTTTATCGATACTTTACATTAAATACTGATCATTTACTTTATGTATAGGCTTGATCTCATATCATCCTTCATACAAGTATAAGGCATACTCATTTAAAAAATAACATTAATATGAAAATATGTGAAGGTTACATTAGCCACAATGAGGTGCCACAGCTACCTTTATTAAGAACTACAATTTCCCCTGAACAGTGTGCTACAAGATATACACAGTTTAAGGATGAATGTTATTGTTATTGACATCTCATTATGGTCTTTCTTTACGGGATCATTACATCGATTTCCACATACGGCCACTTTAAAATTTCTGGGTCATTTAGGATCGGGTACCTTTTGGCTATCCCAAAGAGTTGGATTTTTTCAAGAGGCCTGTTACACGCACTGTAAATATACCAAATATAAAATTCTTATATGCTACCTGTCGGATTGTGTCAGTCATTCATAGCTGAGCTAAGTTATTTAAACTATTTTATCAGGCTCATGAAACCCCTCCTCCAATGTTTTGTTCCTTGGGTTTTGCGATACTTTTAATTTCCTGCTCAATGCCCTGTAACATAGTCAGACGCGTGCTTTTTTTTTTGTTTCCATTACTGCTCAAAAGAATATTTTTTGTACTAAGCTCGTAAACATTCATTCTCGATAGGTTGTGTATGAGAATCCCCCCCCCCTTCCATTTTCGGCGGTTCTTACTTTAATATAATAAGGGCAATTGTATTTGGAATTGTCCTTTTGACGTTGACAATTAGTGTCCCAAACTTGTGTTCGAGGGGAAAGTTTTTAATAAAACTGGTAGTGATTTCTTTGGTGACAATGGGTGTTCATGTTGGCAAAGGAGCAGACACTTTAAAAAGTTTCAATATTTATTTTGGTTTCTAGAGAAAAGAGTTTGTTTTATTTTTACAGAGTGTAAGGCGCCTAAGGGACAGCCACTACAGCATGTGATCTTTTAGGACAGCCAAAAGGTTTCCGATCCTAGGCTGTGACTACGTTCACTTTGGCTGTAACTTTTGGCACAATATCTCCCCGGAGGGAGGGCGTAAAATAAGCCCACTGTTTACTTAGCGAAACATCTTTTTTTTTTTTTACTCTTACTACAATAAGGATAACAATACCACTTAAAATGACGTTCAAAGCACTTTTTTCCCAGCCGTTTTTTGAAGAGACTCAGTGTGTTCAACATAGAAAGACTACGGAAAGCTTTAAAACCTTGACCTTAACATTGGTCAGTCAATGGCGAAGGGAAATTCTATAAAAAGAAAAGAAACTTACAGAAATACGAAAACAATCACCATATCGCAAAGCCTTATGTAGGCGCTATTAAATGCTCTAACTTTTTTCACCAATATGCTTGCTGACCTCCTGTCAAAATTGCTTGTATTAAGAACAGCAACTGTCATAACATTACGTTATTGGAGCTTTTGTGCTTTCAATTGAAAGATCCCCCTCCCGCCTCAAGCACAGTTTAAGTTAAGCAAACAGAGAAAAGAAAACAAATAAATTCTTCGTTCTTTATGTACCGATTTACATCTGTTGCCATTTTTTTACAGTACACCCTGTGAGGAAGCTTTTAACATAATTCACACTCTCGAGATTACACCATTTTGGCCAACATCCTTTTTATCTTCTCCCGCATCAATCCCTCAAACTGTTTACAGTAGTCATATATATTATTTTTATTGGTAGCTCCATTACTTTTGAGCACCTTATTTTCTTATTTTTTGTTCTCCTCATATCATCAAGCCGAAACATACCTCTATTTCCTTGTATATTACACCCTTATCCACTAAATATTCTTTCTTTATGCGTCGTACTCATTTGACCATCTCGTGTTATGCTTCTCGTGTTAATTTGATATCGTATCCACCTTCTGCTTTTCTTTTCGTGGATTTGCTGTGTTTTTGCTCTCACCAATATTTTCTGATCTTGTCTCTCTGGCTCTCTTTTGTCCGATTACACCTATTGTACTTCTTGTTGCAAATAAATACCTCGTAAAGTGAAGTTCAGCATTCAATTCTTTCATAATCCTCAATGAAATTTATCAATTTCTTGATCGTCTATAGGCAACCCACAGAAATTGCTTATAATTCCGAACTATCGTTTGGCGATCCTTTCCCAAAGGTGATGGTAACTATCATGAGAGTTTGTTGACCATCTGTTGCAGTTATAAGTTTTCGGATCTGAAGATCAAATTGCTGGTTTTATTATTACGGTTTTAATCCACTAGTATGATCAACAGGCTAAACATAAATCAGAGTGAAGGCCACATACCTGATAAACGATACAAGATGTTTTAAACTTTAGGAAGCTAAAAACGAAATTAGAAAAAAAAATAGCGAGCCCACATGCTTGTATAATTACCTGTTTAACCTGGTCTTAAAGGTGGCGTGACATCGGAAAGCTTGCTACACTTTTTCTTGCGAGATTGTGGGAGAAGGTAGGGAAAGACAAAAAATAAAAGACGTGCGTTTTTTTTTTTTTTTTTTTTTTTTTGTTAGCGCTTGAATAGTCAAGTCACAGCAGGACACCCACCAGGCTGTCTTCAAATAATTTTATCAGCGTTTGAGAAACCTCTGTTATGCTCTGAAATGGCTAAAGCAGAAGGACTTTGTCGAGTCAAGACACTTGGCTGTCTACCATAGAAACGAAAACTGCAAACGTACACCAATGCTGTTCGTAAAAAGATCTGGTACGCCCTCTTGGGGTGATGGTCATTCGTTAACCGTTTTTTGCGCAGTGTACAAAAATAGAAGGAAACGCAACGTTCAATTTCTAGCCTTAATATGTTGTGGCCGATAAATACGCATGTCCGACTTGATGACGTGAAATGGCTCCGGCTACACCTCACGTCGTACATTCCACCTTTTCAGTTTTTAGGTGCTTATTTTTATTCTTTCACCAAGAAGACATTCAACAAGCGTAAGTCTAACAAAAGGCAAAACCAACAAGGGAAATAAAACGCTCCAATACCTTTTCCGTTTCCACTGATAACGACTTTCACCATTATGTATTGAATCGACACAATTTTTCCCTCTCTTTTGTATTGAACCACCCCACTACGCATGATGGGCAGTGCTTAAAAGACAGAGACAGCACACATCAACAATGGAGGAGCAACTACAGAATAATATCATATGCAAAGCAAAGAAGGATTCGAAGGAGTTCAAATTAAATCTAGATGAAGTTCCTGCAAAATTTTGGTCATAGCACCTCTATAACGTATTTGCGCTTAAAATTACGTGTGATCAACAGGCATATACACACTAGTAGGTTGTTAAAGTATAAATTATTTGAGGTGAGTTTTCTTTTATGTTAAATGGGATTCTGATACTTATTCTTTTATAAAGCCTTCTTAATCAAAGTTCCGTATTAATTCTGGATATGATCCCAATAACATGAGGGTTACCCGCATATCAATTTATTACTAAATCATGCATATGATTGAAGCAGAAGATTGGACTTTTATACATACACTTGTAGAAGATGGCATAAACTCATTTTATCATGTTATCTGGAAGTTTATTTATCTCTTAAGATCACTTGGTGATAACATTTAATCAACCAGTGTATTCCGCATTAATTTACCGTGATATAAGAACAATAACAATGGATCACCCTTAATTTTGTGGATGGGGGAAATGTTAAATTACACACCACAAAGGAACTACAAGGATGTTAATAGTCAAAACTATCAGGTGTAAGCCAATTTAAGTATCACAAAAAAAAAAGCAAAAATCATACTTGACGAGGTTGGAAGTTCATTTCATTTGACACATGTATTCATCACCGAATACAGAGTTTGTGTGTATAAATACTGGGGGGGGAGAGAGTGTCACTGCCTTTACATCGTCTACCATTTCCTTTGTACAACAAGTTTTTTTTTTTTCTGCGGTATTTTCAGTCTGATAATCAAGAGAGAAAAACAGGGTCATCAAAGTGTTCTTGTCCTTTACGTCCTTGAATTATTGTATCAGCTACATCAAAGGCAGTTGATTTGGGTTTCCTTTTTTTAAAAAAAAACCTCAACAACAAACAATCGAACCTTATTTATATTTAGGAATTGTACTTCTCTATAATCCATGGCTGTCGCTAGGCTTAACCTTGATTGATTGCTTTCCAGTGTGATCACATTGAGAATAAATGATTGATTGCTTCATGAAAGAAAAGATCCGGTGTATTCTTTTTTCTCAACCCGTGAGTAGTCTTGAGAATATAGCTACTGAGAGGAAAAAAAGGAATGCTCAATTTTTTGATGTGATACATTACAGAAAATTCTTATATGCTACTTTTCGGATTGTGTCAGTCATTCACGGTTGAGATAAGTCTTTTAAATCTATTTTCTCAGGCCCATGAAACCCCTCCTTCAAAGTTTTGTTCTTTGGGTTTGTGATACTTTTAATTTCCTGCTCAATAACCTGTGAGATAGTCTGATGCGAGCTTTTTTTGTTTCCATTACTGCCTAAAAGAATATCTTCTTTACTCAGCTCGTAAACGTTCATTATCGATAGGTTGAGTATGAGAACCCCCCCCCCATTTTCGACAGGTCTTATTTTAATATAATTAGGACAATTATATTTGCAATTGTCCTTTTGACGTTGACGATTAGTGTCTCAAAGCTATTTTTGAGGGCAAAGTTTTTAATAAAATTGGTAGTGATTTTTTCGCCAATTTTTTTTTTGGTGGCGTTGGGTGATAAAGTTGGCAAAGGAGCAAACACTTTCAAAAGTTTTAAGTCAATTTTTATTTTGACTTCTAGAGAAAAGAAGTAGTTTTATTTTTACAGAGTGTAAGGCGCGTAAGGGACAGCCACTACAGCATGTGATCTCTGATCCTAGACTGTGACTACGTTCATTTTGGCTGTTTCTAAGGTGTGGTTTTCGGCAAAACATCTCTCCGGAGGGAGGGCGTAAAATGAGCCCACTGTTTATTTTGTGGAATATCATTTTTTTTTTTTTTACTCTTACTGGAATAAGGATAACAATATCAATTAAAATGACGTTTAACGCACTCTTTCTCAGCCGTTTTTAAAAGATACTCGATGTGCTCATCATAAAAAGTCTACGCAAAGCTTCAAATCCTTGACCTTAACATTGGTTGGTCATTGACGAAAGAGAATTCTATAAAAAGAAAAAAAAAAAAAAAAAAAAACTAATAGAATACCGTATCGTAAAGCCTTATGTAGGTGCTATTAAATGCTCTATATTTTTTTTTATCAATATGCTTGCTGACTTCCTGTCATAACTGCTTGTATTAAGAACAGCAACTGTCATAACTTGGATTCAGGTATTAGAGCTTTTGTGCTTTCAATTGAAAGATCCCCCGCCTCAAGCACAGTTTAAGTGAACCAAATAGAGAAAGGAAAACAAAAGAATTCTTCGTTCCTTATATACCGATTTACATCTGTTGCCAATTTTTTATAGTACACCCTGTGAAGAAACTTTAACATAATTCACACTCTAGAGATTACACCCTTTTGACCCATACCCCATTTATATTCTCCCGCATCAATCCCTCAAACATTTTACAGTAGACATATATTTTTATTTTTATTGGTATCTCCATTACTTTTCAGCACCTTATTTTTTTATTTTTTGTCATCTTCATATCATCAAGCCGAAACATACCTCTGTTTCCTTGTATATTACACCCTTATTCACAAAGTATTCTTTATGCGTCGTAATCATCTCCCATCTCGCATTATATTTTTCATGTTATGCTTGATATCGTATCCACCTTCTGCTTTTCTTTTCGTGGATTTGCTGAATTTTTGATCTCACCAATACTTTCTAATCTTGTCTCTCTGACTCTCCTTTGTCCGATTACACCTATTGCACTTCTTGTTGCAAATAAATACCTCGTAAAGTGAAGATCAGCATTCAATTCTTTCATAATCCTCAATGAAACTTCATCAATATCTTGATCGTCTATAGACAACCCACAAAATTGCTTAGAATTCCGAACTATCGTTTGGCGATCCTTTCCCAAAGGTGATGGTAACTATCATGAGAGTTTGTGGACCATCTGTTGCAGTTATAAGTTTTCTGATCTCAAGATCAAATTGCTGGTTTTATTATTACGGTTTTAATCCACTAGTATGATCAACAGGCTAAACATAAATCAGAGTGAGGGCCACATACCTGATAAACGATACAAGATGTTTTAAACTTTAGGAAGCTAAAAACGAAATTAGAAAAAAAAAAATAACGAGCCCCCATACTTGTATAGTTACCTGTTTAACCTGGTTTCAAAGGTGGCGTGACATTGGAAAACTTCCTACACTTTTTCTTGCGAGATTGTGGGAGAAGGTAGGGAAAGAAAAAAAAAAAGAGGTGCGTTTTTTTTTTTTTTTTTTTTTTTTTTTTTTGTTAGCACTTGAATAGTCAAGTCACAGTAGGACATCCACCAGGCTGTCTTCAAATAATTTTATCAGCTTTTGAAAAACCTCTGTTATGCCCAGAAATGGCTAAAGCAGAAGGACTTTGTCGAGTCAAGACACTTGGCTGTCTACCATAGAAATGAAAACTGCAACCGTACACTAGTGCTGTTTGTAAATAGATCTGGCACGCCCTCTTGGGATGATGGTCATTCCTTAGCCATTCTTTGCGCAGTGTACAATAATAGAAGAAAACGCAGCGTTGAACTTCTAGCCCAGTACTCCTTATGTTGTGGCTGATAAATACGCATGTCCGACTTGATGACGTGAAACGGCTTTAGCTACATCACCTCAGGTAGTATATTCCACCTTTTTAGTATTTGGAGAAAATTCTAGGTGTTCATTTCTAATCAATCACCAAGAGGACATCTAACAAGCGTAAAATCAACAAAAGGCAAGACGAGCAAGGGAAATAAAGCGCACCAATACCTTTTCCGTTCCCATGGATAACGACGTTCATCAATTAGTATGTGTTAAATCGACGTAATTTTTCCCTCCCCTTTGTATCTATCCACCCCACTACGCATGATGGGTAGTGCTTAAAGAACATAATATCGACACTGGATAAACAGCTACACGACATTAACATAAGCAAGGCAAAGAACGATTTGAAATTCCTGCAAAACTTTGGTCGTAGCACCTCTATGACATATTTATACTTGAATTATGTGTGATCAACAGACATATACACACTAGTAGGTTGTTCAAGATATAAATTATTGAGGTGAGTTATTTTTTGTGTTAAATGAGATTGTGATACTAATTTTTTTATAAAGCCCTCCTAATCAAAGATCGATATCAATCCTGCATTTAAACCCTACAACATGAGAGCTACCCATACATCAATTTATCACTAAATCATGCATATGGCTGAAGCAGAAGACTAGACTTTTATAAATACACTCGTGGAGGATGACATGAATTTATTTTAATATGTTATCTGGAAGTTTATTTATCTCTTTGAAGATCACTTGGTGATTATGACCGATGGATTCCGTATTAATTTGCCGTGGTATAAGAACAATAAAAATGGATCGTTTTTAATTTTGTGGATGGGGGAGATGGAAAACATACACGGGAATTCGGTGGTAAAGTAGTAAATGAGAATCGTAAATGACACAACATAAAGAAGCTACGAGGATGTTAATAGTCAAGCTATCCGGTGTAAGCTTGTTTATGCATCACAAAAAAAAAGAAAAAATCATACGCGACGATGTTCGGAATCCATTTTATTTGACACATGTATTCATCACCGAATACAGAGTTTGTGTGTATAAATACTGGGGGGGAGAGAGTGTCACTGCCTTTACATCGTCTACCATGTCCTTTGTAAATCAAGCTTTTTTTTTTGTTTTTTTCTTTACGGTACTATCAGTCTGATTATCAAGAGAGAAAAACAGGGTCTTTAAAGTCCTCTTTTCCTTTAAGTCCTCTTTTCCTTTAAGTCCTTGATCATTGTATCAACTACATCAAATACAGTCGAGTCGGGTTTCTTTTTTTTTAAGCCTCAACAGCAAACAATCGAACCTTGTTTATATTTAAATATTGTGCTTTTGTACAATACATGGCTGTCACTAGGCTTAACCTTGAACGGTTGCTTTTCAGTGTGGTCACCATGAGAACCTGATGGTTTATTGCTTCATCAAAGAAAAAACCGGGTGCATTCTTTTTTCTAAAATCGGGAGTGGTCTTGAGAATTCAGCTACTGAGAGGAAAAAATAAAATAAAAAAAAAATAGGAACGCGTGAGCGGGGACAGAAAAAAGCAATTTCAGCGGTATTTGACCCCGAGTCTCACTGCCTGCTTAATTCATTGAGCACCGGTGGAGAGTCACTGCTTAAGCGCACAAGCTTACTTGCCAGTATAATAAAAAATTGTCCTACTTGCTCCTTTTAGAATGTTTTTTTTTCTTTTTTTTTTTTTTTCATTAAAATCAACCTCTGTTCGTACATAATAACCCCATATAAACTTAAAGCAATAGAACTGTCTGGCCAGAAAAAGAAAAGAGACGATGTATACCCTACACTTAAGTAATTACTTGTTTTTATAAAAGGAGGGACACCTAGATTAAGCTGCTGAATTCAACTCAACGAGACTCTTTTTATCTGCGAAGCAAAACTTAGGTCTTTGCGTTAATTCCTAAAAAGACATGAACAAATTAACTCCAGCTCAAGTATGAATTGGTAAGAAGTGGCTACAGTTGAATCAGGAATAACTAACCCATTTACGTTTACTTCGACCACAGTTCATTTACACAACGTAGCCGTTAGCACTCAGTAAACAAGATGTATGTCACGAATCGTTTTCGGGACTAACACTATAAACACGTAAAGCTTATATTTACAAGGACCTTGAACAAATAATAAAGGAGTTTACCAACCTCTTTTTTGTTTAGAAAATCTTAACTGATCAATCTAACTGTTTATTGTTGATGCTGGATACTGTTCCGATGAAACTGAAATATTATTTAGTTCTTTTATCTGTCAAGTGGCATCAAATAATACATGTCCAATTGCTTTATAAACATTGAAATGTTCAATTTTTAAATAATAAAACAATCTTACTTGATAGCCTATTTAATGAAAAGTTTCTTGATACGATTATAGAATAACATTCAATCTGAACTATAAGATGAGTTGACATTTATTTAAAACAATCAATTTTATTTTTTTATTTATTTAAATAAAAGGAAGCTCATGTAACTTTTGTCTCAAGCGCATATTTTGATCTTTTTATTGGGAGGTGGACAAAGATAAGGAGAGGTGGACAGGGATACTGAGGTGGACAGGGATACGGAGAGGTGGACAGTGATCCTGAGAGGTGGACAGGGATACTCGCATATTTTTTTAGGTGGACAGCGGAGTTGGTCCACTCAGGTTGGGATGCGTTAATGTATTTTTAGAATTTGTTTTTCCCCTTCTATGCACTCATTTTCTTAAATGTGGGGTTGCCTAATTAAGCAAAATGACAGGTTCCCATCAAAACAAACTTTTTTTTTTCATTTCTAGGGTAGACTTTTGTCTTTTTTGTTTATTTTCCTTTTTCATTTTTTTCTTAACACTTTTTTCCCATATGATTATAATTTTTAATAAGTGGTAAGCTTAAAATTTTTATATACTTCTTCATTCAAATAACATTCTTTACTCCAGTGTCTAATGCAAACATAGTCTCTGTACGGGAAGCATCGTTGAAATAAAGTAAGAGAAATAAAAGCAGTTGTTATTCTTTCAACTCATCCTTTTCTTTTTTTTTTTTATAAATGTAGGAAAATGTCATTCTCTCTGGTTGCTAAGCTCCTTAATTTACTGAACTACCAATCTTTTTTCCTTTTGAAAGACGCTGTAATCCAAGTCCTAAATAGAATGGTGCCCATGTTGCTTACACTTGACTGACGCGTCGCGGACATGTTTTTTTAAGAAGGTACACAATTTTTTTTCTAGCTCTATTACTTTTGTCCTAAAAACAAATATTCTTTAGCTTCCTAAGGTCGTCCTGTGCTCTTTTTGCAGGTCTTATTATTTTCGTGAATAAAAGGTACGGATGATTACACCTAAAATAAAAAAGAAGCCATTTCTAATTTTTTTAAAACAGATTCATTTGTTGCTAAGCCTTTGTCAAAAAATTCGTCCATAAAAACTATCTTTTGGGAGAAAGGTGGTGCTCACTATCATGAATTGTTCCGTTTGTTTGTTTTTCGATGAAATGGTTCCGTTGTGTCACGTCTAGTACTCTGCCCTTCTTTTTATAAACATCAAGCCTTGTTTATCTATTGTTACTTCTTGCATTTACTTTGGGTAAGACTTCCATATAGTTTTGTATCTTACAATTTCTAATTATTTCATTTTCTAGAATGCTATTTTGTGCTTGTTTTTTTTTTGGATCAGGTTTGGATGTATGGCCTTTTTTTTTTGTGTGCATCTCGGGTAAGACATAGACCCGTACCGAAGTGTTCAGTTTATTTATTATTTTTTT